TCTTTTCTTTTCTTTGTTTTACAAGTGACAACACAGTGACAAATATTGATTTTATTTATTTGCATGGCGACACAGCGTTTATAATGCACGACCTGCATGTCACAAATGTTGCGGTATCAGACTATCACCGGCAAATTTCTGGGTGAAAACGAAAGCGAAAGTAGATCTTGATTTTCTCGATCGAGCCTCAGTATCACATACACTTCCGCCTGCAGCCATAGCCGCCTGTTCGCGTGAAACGTACACTCGGGCCGGGAAAAGCCGAACGAACATCACAATCGCGACCGGAAAAAATCAATTTACTGACCTATCCGATTTGGGTTTCAAATATTCGAGAACTTAAAGTCATATTTTCCCAGGTTCTTCCCGGGGCAGTTAACAGATTTCCTCATACTCTCGGGTCTGGCAGGTTGCGATAGCATCAACCAATTGCCGACAGAATTACTGTAAATTGATATCCGTAACTTATACGTGACGATACGATGACGGATCCTTTGCCCCGGAATTTCGGTAGCCCTAAGCTATCGCATTTTTTAATGGATGGAGTTGATAATGATGGGGGGTCAAATATGGAACTGTCAAAAAGTACGGATTTCCGTAAAAATACAGAAGCTTGGAAGCACTGCAGTAACCACTAGGCCACCGACGCCATAGACCTGAGGAGGGGGGGGGGTGGTGAGAGAGTCGAAATCGGGTGTCACAACCAGACAAATCGTGCAAAAATCGGACCAGCGTACGCTCAGCGTAAGGGCAAAGAGAGCTCAGGATAGGTGGGGCGAGGTCAGGGCCACAAATAAATAATGAAGAGAGTTCTACTTTCCGACCTTGTCCAATCATCTCAAAAGAGCAACACGCGAGGGATCTCGATTCGGATATGTCAGAACACCCCATCAAGAAAAAGGAAAGAGAGAGAGAGAAAATTAGGAAGAAAAATGTAACCCTTTATTGAGGTGGGCGTTTTTAAAATGCCCCGATCGACACACCTTGGGTCATTTAAGAAGAGGGCTTCGTGTCACTAGTGTCAGATTTGTTTGTTTGTTTGAGTAAAGAGATGCACATAGACACAAATAGGGTCATTTAGAGCTGGGGAAAAGTAAGACTGAGGAACATAAAAAACAGAGGGGAAAAAAAAGAAGTACGAACTACCAGTGGCGCCCTCCAACCACTCACTGAGTGTCAGGGCCACCCGGGCTCTGAAAGATACAATATCCCAGCACAAAGACCGAGATACTCAGAACAAATTCTTCCCACACAGGAATCGAACTCTGGTCTCTTGCCTGCGACGGTGAAGCACCTGCTTACCGTTTCACATAAGTAAGGCGTCGAAAAGATAAAAGGAAAGAAGCAGAACAATAAGGGGGCGAATTATCAAACTACCTTCTGGCACGAGCAACACATTTTCAGACTCGGTTGTTTTATTTGGCGAAAGGAAGCACACTGACAAAGGAGCACCACGGTGTGGCACGGCGGACGAACATAACGATACTCAAAGAATTGCATTCGAAAAGCTTGACATGATGTGAAACTCAAAATCTTTGACGTCAAATTTCTCAAAACTCGGTGCTGAGCAAATAGAACGTTGTAATTCTGAGGTTGCAAAATGGGAAAGATCGCGTAAAGCGCCTTTCTAAAGGACACAATGTCCGGTGGAGCTGAACCTTGAACCACGATGTAAACCCGCAATCTCACGATTACAAGTCCGGTAGCTCGGCAACTGATTCCACTGAGTCAATGTGTATGTAATTATCCGTTTGCGGTAAAAGGTGGCTAGCTCTCTTTCACCTGATGCTGCAACAGCAATAACCGTTGGCATGCCTAGTTACTACACACATGTGTGCATACAAGGGTCCAAACTTTTAAACTGCACCGAAGATATTATCATTTCTGAAACATTATTATTGTTATTTTAAAAAAGGATACCACACCACAATCATTGAAAAGTGCGAGTTCTTCTTTGAAGCAATAACAATGCTCTATCTTTCCAACCCCCGAAAAAAAGGTTTTGTCAGAATGAGCATAGATGTGTGTTGCTCTTTAGAGTGTGAATTTATATATAACTCCAAAGGTCTTGTAATTAAATTCTTCCATATGGTTGAATGATGCATCCTCGATGTGAATGTACATTTTGCCAGCTTTACTTCTCTTTTCATATTGAATTTTTATGAGGGTAATATATAATATACTTTTTTAAATGTACTCCTGCATGTCTTTTTACGGTCTGTACAGCCAAGACAAATTTCCCTCTGGGATAATAAAATATATCTTATCTTATTTTATCATAAAAGAAAGAGACACATACTGGAATTTTCAATGACATTGATCACTGGCAAAACTTTCAAAACCGCAGAAAACTACCTGAAAACGTACTCAGCCACAATACAGGTTTGGGAAAAGCGCACACGTGCAAACAAACACCAGCCGTTTTATTTAAGCGCTTGGGCCAAGCAGCAAAAGGTTAGTCTGACCTTTCAGCAGCGGATAAAATATCGAGGCCTTTAAATTGAATTGCCAGAGAGCAAAAAACACCAGCCAAAAGCCAGGATGTCAATGAGGGGGTCACTTTTGCTCAACACTCAACAGAAAGCGCCGTGCGTAACATAAGACTGTACGGGAGACAAAACCCTATCAAAACACACACACACACACACACACACACACACACACACACACACACACACACACACACACACACACACACACACACACACACACACACACACACTTGAACAAGCGAGAATAGTCATCACTACGACAAGCCGTAATGTGAACCAGAACGAAAAACAAAGACAAGCGCAAAAAGCACTTCGGTCCATTTTGAGGACTTCTGTTACAGGTCCCCTTTCCCCTCATCTTTTCCTGTCAACTTAACTTTCCCACTCTTCAACAGGCACTTTACTAGACAAAAAAGTAGTTACTGTAGAGTTGCAGACCCCCCCCCCCCCCCCCACAAACAGCAAGTAAGACTGTCACTCGTATTAAGTAAGATCGGTGCAATACTGATTCCAATCACAAGGGCGGTAAACCCTAAGGTTGTCTCAACCGAATAACCATTTAAAACGGACATACGGTTATTTTTAACAAAAGACTCTTCATGTGGGTAAAAAAAAAAAAAGGGGGGGAGGGGGGGAGAAATCGTAAATGATATCGAGGCATATTCTGATTCCAACTACACAGGCAATAACATATTGTTTTTATTTTTCCTACCCTAACAACCATTTAAAACGGGTGTAACAACTTTAGCAAATAAACGGCTCTTTAAATGGGCAAGGAGGGAAACGAGAAAAATAATTAAAACAAAAAAAGAGCTGGAACAAAGGACTGTGCAGACACTGACAATCAAAGCAGTAGAAACGACATATCAAGCAAGACACAATCACACAAAAAAATGAGGATATTAAAATTTTATGGAACATTAGAAGTAGAAAGTATACCACACCACAATCATTGGAAGTGCGAGGTGCTCTTTGGTGCAACAACAGTGCTCTATCTAATCTAAGACATAATAATAATGATAATATAATCAGTGTTAAATGATGGCACGTTAATGCTTAAGTGAATGCAGTACACTAAGAACAATCTGTGTTCGTATTAGAGTGTAATGGCTATTGATTGCATCGAGAGCTGAATGCTATCTTGTAGTCACTCCGATTTCCGATATTTGAGGACTTTATGAATATCAGTACAGTCAGGTATGTTGAAAAAAATCTTTTCTTTAAACCCCACATTATTCTGTATAGAACTGTTAATTCTAGTTTATGCGGACAAATAATAAGTATCGAAATTCAGAGGTGTTACAAGAGAGTACCATACATTAGAAAAGAAGGAGCGCTGATAAGGGCGATAGATGTTTGATGGGAAAGAAGGAGAGAAACCCACCAGAGCACCCAACAACCGCCCACATAATTGAACTTCGCGACTGGAGTTCCGTATTGTTAAAGTGACTCACGTCAAAAGCGGAAAATGGAGTTAGTTCAAGACAGCACTAAGCTCGCTACACGTAATAATTCCAACGCCTTTTAGACACGTCATCTTTCTGTGCATGTCCAAGTGACGTTTGAAAGACAAGGTCGCACTGACACATGAGTGGAAGGAAAAAACCCCCACACAGTTGAAATGCAATACAGCGAATACACAAGATGTAATTTTTGAGTAGTTCGATTTACAAGCTGCCCTCCTTATAATTCATTAGGTGTTAATTTTAAAGACAAGGAAAGTGAAAAAATTCAAAATGTTCTCAACAGTTGAGCACTTGAACAAAGCCATGGATTTCTCCACAAGAAAATCGAACAGCTAATATCGTAACCCCGCCCCCTCTAATTTACCATTAAAGAAAAAAAAAAAGAATTTAATTTTTGTTTAATAAACAAAAACAAAACCCAAACCCTTCAGTAATGAGGACACGCACAGCAAAATGACGATTGATTTCCACTTGGAGACGGAAGTTCTAAAATCGTTGGAAAATACAACTATTGCTTCAATATTCTAATGAAGAGAGTTAGATAGGACAAAATACGAAGAACGTAAATGAAACTTAAAGCGGCGTGCTAGGAAAAAGTTAAGTTTAGGAGAGTGGTGAAAATATCATTATGGTGAATTAACAAGTGAAAATAGAGAAGAACGGGGGTGAGTCCCATGAACTTATGACGGGTTTTGTGGCAGCCACTTTTTTCCAGTTCGACTCTTGGGAGTTTTGGTTTAAGTTTTAGTAAGAGTTTTATGGAACTAGCAACACAAATAGGTCATATACATGCTGAAGATTTGAGGTGTCACTGGAGAGTAACGTATAAAAAAGAAAAGGAGGAGAGCCAAAGGTAAACGATAATAGATATCAGGAGTATCTTGATAGGAAAGAAGGAGCGAACCACACCAGAGGACCCGCCAGCCAACAAAACACACTCTCTGAAAAATGAAACTGCCGGGGAAATTTTAGGAGGTGGTGATGGGTTGGAGCGAACAGAAAAGGGCTGTTTGAGGTGGTGTAGGTAGTTAGATGGCTTACCCTGCTCCTCCGCGGTTTTGTCCTGGGTCTCCGTCTCGTCATCGGCCGCCATGATGTCTGGGATACGTTGCGAGAAGAGGTCGGCCGCCGCTGCTGAGCCGCCGTTCTGTGGGAACGACAGTTGTTTTAGGTTTAGTGAGGGTATTACAAAAGGAGAAGATGGCGATGGATTGTACAAGTTCTGAGAAGAGAACCAGACTCTATTGTGAAGACTGCCCTCCACTGGACACCCGAGGACGTGGCAAAAGGGGCAGACGCAAAGTGACCTGTAGACGCACATTAGAGTCTGAAATGAAGTCCTGGAATCATTCGTGGGAAACGCTGACAAAGATGGCCCAAAACAGAGAGAGCTGGAGATCTTTTGTTGCTGTCCTAAACGCCAGATGGCGTAATGGGTAGTAAGTAAGTAAGTAAGTAATGGTATTACGTAGTGAGGCAGCATGAAGATCTACTGACCACAGTGAAGATACGAAAATTAAAAAGGTATGGGCATCTCACAAGATCCACAGGACTTGCCAAAACAATCCTTCAAGGAAAGAGAAAAAGAGGAAGGAAGAGAAGGAGACGGGAGGACAACGTTACAGAGTGGACAGGAAAGACGAAGGGTGACAATCTGAGGAAAGCAGAGGACAAAGAGAAATGGCGAGAGCTGGTTGTCAGATGCAGTAGTGCCCCCACGGTTGCCCCTACCACGGGATAGAAGAAAAAGAAGAAGGGTTTTATGGCACTTGTAGCACAATAAGGTCACAGTAAAGGGTGTCGCAGATTACATGTGTTACAAGAGAGTTTCTACTTGACTTTATACTTCTTCTTGTACCTCTAGACGTCAAGGGGAGAAAGTTTTCTGTCTCTACCAAGCTGGATGGCCTGGATGGGTGGGATGCTGTGTGTTTTCAGGGTATCTTTCACCCCCTCGATCCAGGTCTTCCTTAGTCTTTCAAGGGGCACCCCCCTAGACACACACACACACACACACACACACACACACA